ATCAAAAACAACACAGTCATCAAAGCGCTGAGTACTAAAGTAATTTTCTCAATGATGGATTGCTGGGGTCGATAAATTATGATAATTTTCGAGGGAGTGTTCATTTCCCTTCATTTTGCAACTCTCTATCATGTCTCTAAATGTATACAAAAATCCTGGCCGTTTTAGGTATACTTTGGTGGTGAACGATATCAATGAGGAGGATTCTTTCATGCGAATGTTGATCTTTCTAAATATTATTTCCAATCCTCATAAATTCCACCAAACGACGGTTTAATTTCCAGCAGATCCGTCTAGTGGGAGGAAGGAAATTGAAAGAATTATGTCAGCGCGAGTTTCCCGATGTTCACTTAGTTTTTTTCTTCTCATCCCGGTTTTACTAACTGAATTTTCTCCAGAGCGCTACAGACCGTTTATAGACTTCCGTTTTATGCTTGCCTTCAAACATCATTATATTTCAATTTTTTTTCAGATTTGGCTTGAGGGTGGAATGCTATTTTTGTCGATAGTAACGAAGTCAGGTGAGTTTTCACATGATTTGACATTGTCTTAAGTGGAGGATGAACCATGCCTTACTGCAATGAGAACTTTTCATGGTCGAAAATTTCTAAAAACAAAATATACAGTGTGTCCCACTTACCATGCTCACCATGGGTATCTTTTTAACGGTGAGAGATACGAAGTCGGTTGAATGACACCAAATGTGGAGTTTGTCAAGGCCAACTATAATGTGAAAAAATATTTTGATAAAATCTCTTCGTTTTTGTTTTATACGCAAAAAACAGATTTTGATCATTTTCTTGTCTCCTCCGTAACTTCTTTATTTATGAAAATATTCAAATAGGAATTTCATAAATTTATACCAACTCTTCTAGAATTTGAGATATCAGCACCAACTTCAGTTTTTCAAATGTAGGTCATAGCTCACTGTGACTCAGTTACAAATAACTTTTTTTTCTGTTACAGATGATATGTCGCAGTAATAGTTTTGTGTTGATATTAACGGAGTTATCGTCATTTATACAAAAACAAAAAATTATTTGGAAGCCGCTATCTTGCATTTATAAATTTTAACAAAAAAATCATGATCTCCGACCTCAAAAACCCCCACTTACCAATTTTGAATGGAATCGGACCAAATCTTGTCCGCCATCTTTGAACAGCCATTTTTTTTTAATTTCAACAAAAATTCCATAACTCCGATCAACTTGGAATTTGGCAGGTGTTCATAATTTCGGTGACAATACATTATGGAATTTTTGTTGAAATAAAAAAAAATGGCTGCTCCAAGATGGCGGACAAGATTTGGTCCAATTCCATTCAAAATTGGTAAGTAGGGGTATTTGAGGTCGGAGATCATGATATTTTTGTTAAAATTTATAAGTTCAAGATGGCGGCTTCTGAATAATTTTTTTGTTTTTGTATAAATGACGATAACTCCGTTGTTATCAACACAAAACTATTACTGCGACATATCATCTGTAAGAGAAAAAAAAGATATTTGAAACTAAGTCATAGTGAGCTATGACCTACATTTGAAAAACTGAAATTGGTGCTGATATCTCGAATTCTAGAATAGTTGGTATAAATTTCATATTTTTTTCGAAATCACTTTGAAAAACTGCCATGAGAATGTGAAATTCCTATTTGAATATTTTCATAAATAAGGAAGTTACGGAGGAGACATGAAAATGATCAAAATCTGTTTTTTGCGTATAAAACAAAAACGAATAGATTTTATCAAAATATTTTTTCACATTATAGTTGGCCTTGACAAACTCCACATTTGGTGTCATTTAACCGACTTCGTATCTCTCACCGTTAAAAAGATACCCATGGTGAGCATGGTAAGTGGGACACACTGTATATTGAAATATATGGATGGATTTCTCTGAAAGTGGTTTTTTGAACAAGCTCACTGATTTTTCCAAATAATTTATCAACTTTGTATTTGTAAGGAAATTCAGAGAGCTTTTTCGAAATAATACTTTCAAAGATATACCTACGCATATATTTCCATCTAGGACCGTATGATATCTTGTTTTTTTCTCGAAGAAATCAATTATGGACAGTGAAAAGTATAATTTCAAGTCTTTATTTTCAATTTCCGTCTACTAGTGGCATAGTTACCTACCGTTTTATCGGTGCCAATCTGAAATTCATAACATTTCACATATCTAAATTTGAAGGTTTCCGATATATTGACGAAGATATGGGAATATTTTTCAGCCAGAAAAATTCACCCTGTTGTCGGTGTAGGTAGTTTTTTCAGTCAGGATGCATTTTTGGGTATTTACGTCAAAATAAACTAAATAACCTGAAAACGAAGTTGTCGTTCTTGTTCGGACTAACCTCGTATATATTATTTTCCGAAAGAATGAATTTATATGGGATTATACTAAACCCACAGAGAGTTGTCCGAGCTTAATTGAGAAAGAAATCATATCCAGAAAAAGCTGCGTATGGAGGCAGAGATAACACAAAACAAAGAGGGATACTTAGGAGAAAAAGTTATAATCAAGCCATCTCATTGTACATGACCGATGGGGTAGAATAAAAAAAGGTTTGATAAATCTCCTCATATATGGTATATATGCATATGTTAAAATAATATAATATGCTTATATAGGTATACATTATAGGATAAAGGAAGGAAATAACTATATTCTTTAAATGTACAGGGTGTTGGTCAAATTAGGACATAATTGCACCATTTCATGCTCAACAAAATGCTGCTTTGAAATTCGATTAATTTCAATTATTTCTGGAGATATCCGGAAAAAAAGAAAATATGCAAAATAATTTTTATATATACATATTACTCAGTTTATCTGGAGAGATATTTCAAAATGAATGTCAATTCATCATTGCCACTTCTCCTCCTCTTCAAAATGGAATTGTCAAATTGGAAATTCGACGTTTCTTCTTCTAGGCGGCCATCATCAACTTTACTCTTTTAAATACGGACCTGGATTTTTTATTTAATTTTTCGATAGTTTTCGATCTTCTTGATATGATGGTGTATCAAAACATTACTTAAAATGTTAACTTCAATGAAAAAATGTTTATAGAAGGGATGAGATACTCATCAAAGGAGCTCAAGATAAAAATTTATTAGAAGATATTCTCGAAGAAACACCCAGTGTAATCATCATGCACTGTATAATTTAGATTTTTTGGGGCATTTTTTTATATAACATTCGACACATACCTATATATGACTCAGTTGGATTTCTGAGTACGATCTGATTTCGGTTTTGTCAAATATACGGGGTATTTCATTGTGAACTGTACACAGAGCAGTGAAAAAATCGTGTCATCAGAACCTGTCCTTGCAAAGTAAAGTGTTGATGGTTGGAAAGTCAAAGCTGTTAGCACATATGAAGCGTGTGACAACTTGAGGAACCCCAAATACCAAAATTTCCTCAATATCAGTGGAGCTTATATACAGAGTGTCCCTAAAAGTTCTATACAAAATCTTAGCACATAGTCCTGAAGTCAAAATTAGCCGATTTGAAGCATTTTACCTCAGTCTGAAATTGCTCTGAGTTACAGGGTGGTGAATTTATATAAAAAAGATCGACAAACACACTCCAAGAAAGTATTTTGAAAAATCCATATATGTACTGCCAATTCACTGACCAAATCACATCCACCGAGATAACAGCAAACATTTTTTATTCAAAATAATTTAAATATTCTTGTGAGGCATCGAAGACGCGAAACCGCGTTCTAAAATTTGCAGGAGGAAGGGAAAGTCCAAAGATAAAATCAATTACGTAAGATACGGGGGTTCCTTTCGTAAAAATTGAGACAAAATTCAATTTCTCTGAACTGGAAATTTTCGGGCGTCCTGATTCCGAATCCGAAGTAATTTTCAACCTATTTTGACTCCTAATATCATTTTCCAGAAATTGGGGTGGTTCCATGGCTGTTGGCGAGCAGTGTATATCACTGAAGATGACTCCACTTGGAGGATCCTTACCCAACGATTAACAAAGATACAGGTGTGTTTCCATGGGAAGTGGGTCACACTGTATGTTGACAGAGAGTGCATATACAGGGTGATTCAGATTCAAAGGAACAAACTGAAATGGGTGATAGATCTGATCATTTTTATCGAAAAAGTTTATATAAACATGATCTTGATCAGAAGCGGAGTTACAGGGGGTCGAAGTTTAATTTTTTTCTTTTAATTAATATATCATAATACTTTCCACCTCAACACTCCAAATATACAACAAAAATCTCATTCTCCAATAAACTCAATGTGCAGAAATTGCAATAAACTTGCGACAGTCGATATTTTCTTCCTCACTCAAAATCAATTCACTCTCTTGAAGGTTTTGTTCGTTTTCAAAGTTGGTTGAGTTTTCTCCAAGAATAAAATTTATGCGAAATGTAGACGAATTTAACATGATTTAAAACAGATATGCTTATTTATTTCGAAAACTGTTCGTTTCTCGAAATAAAAATTTAAAGCAATAAAAGTGTCTAAATTGAACAATTCACATAATCCGTTAACTAGATGATATCAGAGGTGTACTACTAAAAATTTTGGGTGGGATAAAGAAGCCTGTACCCCCAAAAATGTATGACCCTGTAGATTTTGAAAATCTTCAAAATACTTGAAATGACGATCTTCTAAGAAGTAACAACCTCACTAAATTTCAAATTGATATCCTCAATAGTAAGTGAGATACTTTAATTAATAGACAAAATAATCAATCTTTGACCTCTTGTAGCTCCGCTACTGATCGAATTGGACTCATTTTTATAAAGACTTTTTTGATTAAAATGATGAGATCTATCACACATTTCGATTTGGGCCTTGAAACTTGAATCACCCTGTTCATATGGATATCAGTTTTTGGATTTTTTCGGGACTCTGTAGAACTGCAGACAATCCCTTTTGATATTTTATTACACCAAATATCGAACTCACCTACTTTCAAGACTGACAGTTATTCTATAAAGTATAATATATTCATATCTCCATTTCAATAATTCCTTGAGTCCCAGTCTGGCTCGATGATATAGTCCCTATTCTCTGGTTTCCTTATTGGCGGTTCGTATTTCCAAGGAGGCCCTTGTAGAGGCAACACGCTTCCGCTTGGCAGGAGATTCATGGTGTAGAACCAGTACAGCATGTGGGACAGTACCCATGTGAAGAGAGTCAGCTGTTGCTTCCTGTGCAGCCGCTTCTTCTGCGGCCAAATGAAGATGATGCCCTTTTGCAGGAACTTGGGCGCTCTTGAGTGGGTTCTGGGTATCGAGACCTTCTGGTATCTGTGCTTTTGCACCGTGACTTGCGTGGTGGACTGGAGGTCGTCGGAAGTTCTGGTGACTTTTTGATAGAATTGGGTCCTGAAGTAGCCGAGGTTCTCGGATTTCATGCCACCGATTTTGGAAAATTGGTTGGTGAGGAAGCCTGCGTACATCTCAAAAGCATCGCTCGACTTCAGACGGGGCTATACAGTAATTTTGTGGTATGGGATATGTTGATAGTTGTGAGTGATGTATAGATGTGACATTTGTTGAGTTTCGTATTCAATCCGATAGAGGAGGATCAGTGTTTCTGTTAGCTGTCATAGATTAGAGTGCCGCATATTAAACAGATTGCAAGCAGATGGCCGAGATATCTCAGCCTAGGCTCCGTTTCTCAGCCGAGATAAAAGTTTTAGCTAGAGTTCCTAATGTACTTGACACTGTTTTGACATGCACATTCAGACTTGGGACTTCAACTTTTGTGGCCTGAACCTATATTCCATGCCATATTCTGTTTCCATTTTTGGAGAATTACGTTATCCGATGGAAATTCGAATAGAGTGAATTGATTTCCCGTGTTCTCACAGTTGGAAAGTGCACGAACTTGCATATTTCTCCTAATTCTCTCAATTTGTCAAACCTTTGAAATATATGTCATGTATACGTTCGTGTACTGTCAGTTGCCGCTTTTTTCATCAATTAATTTGTGGTTATGTCTGACTGTCAGTGCTTGTCATAGGTCGCGTGCACGATGACCGGCCCTAGAGGTAAAACATGGGTTGCGTGCAAGAACTGTCAGATGACCGACACTGGAGGCAAAACATAGAAACACAATGTCACTTTTCTTATTTGTTTACAAGTGATCGAAATAGTTTTTCACAATTAGAATCATGAAATCCGATACCAATTGAATGGTAGATCTCAAAAACATAGCTGTTCCAGCCCTCAATCTGAATTCGATGTGAAATATGCCTTCATAATAATGATTTTGAGAGTTTTTTTTTTCACTTCTGGAGGCAACAAGTGAAGATATCGTGATTGGGTTCTGCTCGAATCATATACAAATCAAAACAGCAAAACTTGGCCATTTTCCTGAAGTGAGCTTTACAGGGTGTCCCAGAATAACGTTCGTATACTCTCCGAGGGAATTTTGCAGATGAAAATAAGAAAAAATGGTTCTTTCAACATGTGTCCGAGCCCTTTGAAGATCTTACGAATCGTTTCGTGGTAAGGAATTCACAATGAAAAGTGACGCTTCTCGAAAACGGTTCCTCTAACGGCATTCTAACAAGAATACCTTTTGCATCATGTAAAGATATTAGAAGAATCTTATTCTGGTAGTAGAAGTGAGATGAATCTTGAAACAAAAAAGCTTGGGGCATTTTTATAGCATAGGTTACAAGTTGCGCACCTCACTGTATATTAAATTGTGTTTTCCGTTCGATGCCAACCTACTGTCAAAGGGCTCTATCGACCTTATAGGTTGATAGAAACATTCTTTCTTATTTTCATCTACAGAATTCAGAATTACGAATTACCTCCCGGAGAATACAAACGTTATTCTGGGACACCCTGTATAGCTGCCTCCCCACTAAAAAGGTTATTCCATGTTTTGTAATTTTATACCTGATGCCATTTCAATTTCCCTTATCCACTTGAGGAATGGAATAAGTGGGAAATCTGAATATTCTGATTGAAAGCCAAAACAGTTCCACAGATGACATGTAAATGGGAGTATAACACAAAGTCGAGATTTTATTATTTCGCAAAGTTTGAGTGGATGGATACTTCAAAGTTCGTGCATGAATTTAGAAAAGATCCAGAGTTGTCGGCCTCGGGCTGGAATGGTTTTTCAACTAGCATAAAAGCAGTATGGAAAACCTTGATGCATATCAAGTAGGCTAAACATTCTGTGCATAGATATCACCTGTACGCTGATATTACTAGATTTTGGTGGTAATTATAGCAATCCTTGAATACAAGACAGTTACTATCTAATTGCTTTCATTCGTGGGTGACAAAAAATAGAATATTGTTATTTTGTAGTTAGTTAGGAACATTTTAAAAAAACATTAAAGTAAATCTCCTGTGCTTTTATAGTGCTTCATAATAAATTAAATGTTCAATATTTTAAAACGTAGTGACATACAGTGTGTGCGATTTCAACTCGCAACACTCCAAATTTGATAATATACAGGGTGAGTCAGATTTTGTTGTAAGACTTCAACAGCTTGAAGAACACATATTTTCGAGATGAATAGTTCTTGTGAACATATTATATGAGTTATAATACGCAATTTTAAAATTCCGAGATATAAGCCGGAATTTCAAAATTCCGAATTTTGAAGATGTTATAATATTATTATATCATTATTATAAGCATTTTCAACGCAAGCTGACAAGTGATTCTTTGTCCTGAAACGTATGAAAAGTTATCATCGTGACACAGTATACACTAGTATATAAAGGCTGACTGACAAAAAACGCCCCAAGCCACCGATTTTGAAAAACAAAGCGAATGAAATTGCTTATCAGATGCTACGAGTAGACTTTGATCATTATTTTCTCAAATTTCAACTGATACGTCAGCAACTGTCAACTTTTTTCCTCAACTGGCACCATTTATGTTTTTCAATATTTTTTCTGTTCGAGTTTTTTTTTTTAATACAACTACATCGTTGTACAAGTTGACTTCTGGACAAAATTAGTTGAATGAAAAAATAAGAGGGTCCGTTCTCAGAAGATACTATTATTTATGTCCAAAAATAAAACATTCCAGTTAATTTTTCGATCGAATTATGTCCTCAATCATTATTTATGTATAAAAGGATCATTATAAACATGGTTTGAGTTGAAAGTTCTAGTAAGGTGTACACGCCCATTGTAGTTTCAATATATATACAACCACAGAGTGACATATTTGTGTATGGACCAGGTGCTCTGATTGCAAATACCGCGCCAGTGCCAGGTATAGGAGCAAGACGTGGAAAATGTTAGGTTAGTGAGCATATCAACACGGAGAAAAATAGATAGCAGGTATTACCAGAATTATTGTACAGATTACCAAAATTTCTGGTACTATATGTGACAGCAATAAAATATAGTAAGTATTATGATACAATTATATGGAAGAAATATTGTAGGTACCAACATAAATTATTGTAATATATCTGAGAATATTTTATAGTAATTCAAAGCACACGTTCATTGTCCATACCAAACATACTTTTTTGTAAAAAAAAACTATACATTATACTTCCTTATGAAATACTGTATTCTCATTTCTAATGACTTTATATGTCTATAGATTGACACATTCTTTTTGAAATTGGAATAATGTTATATTTATGATTATGAGATGGATATTCAATCAATGGAAATATTTGTATTCTCAGTTTGAAGACATGGTATAATAAAATAATAATAATAATTTATTTCCACAAATAAATGTGTGATTATAACATTATATTATATTGAGGCTTCGCACCCCTTTGTCGTCACTTTGGAGACCTGCAGAACATCTTTTTCCAAAAACTCGTTCATCCAACGAACAGCGAGGCTCTGGAACACTGCCATGGGAGGTGTTTCCCGAGTCATATAACCTTCAGAAATTTGAGAAGAACATCAATTTCTACCTCATTTCCCTTGGTTCTCACGATGTTTTCTGAACGTTACAGGATCTCTCTTTTCGTGGGAACCAGAACATGAAAAAACTACTGCTTCAACATTGTGTTCAGTCATCCCTAACTCATTGGAAAGAGTTTCTAATTTTACCGAATTCATAATTTTCACCAACACACTCTTAGACTCAATACCACGCACAAAAGAACTTAGGATTATGAATTAAAGACTCTAGAGGCTGTCGCCCAAGCTGTTCCCACTATTACTGCTAAAATGTAACTGCGCACTGCTCACTGCACTGTGCATCGCTAGCGTTTCGTTTTAGTCTAAAAATAACTCGAGTAAGCGGAATTGCACCAGGCACGAATCCAGGGGGGCATACAGGTGTCGCCTAGATGAATATTCATTTTTGAAACTCTTATTTGGTAAATAATTTTTAAATCCTGAAATTTGGATGAATGTCAAAAAAAAATTCAATATTTATATCAATAGGTATCCGCGAATAGGAAATTCACGTGGAATTCTGAAAATAACCTGAAAAAGTATGTCTGCCAGAAATTCTTGAATTTGTATGAATATTACTACTTCAACGTTAGAAACCTACTATTCAGAAGTCGATAGTTTTGCGAGACTAAGTGGAGCAAAAATCATCAGGCGATTGCTGGAATGCTGGATTCGAAATTCCGTCAAATCGTTTTGATTCCTGCGCTACCTAGTATTATTCTCAATGAAGTTCTCAAATTTTCTCAGAAATCAAATAGGTACACTGATACTTGAAATATTGAATAAACTGTGTTGCCTAGTGATATGTTTAATGTTTTGAATGAATTATAGTATACAGATACCTTCACATAAAATACCACTTCAGAAGAAAAAATTACCTATATACCTATTTGATATACTCTTCAGAAACTTGAATTTCTATACGTATGCCTTTGATCTTGAACCAGAAAAAAATTTGTCTCTGCATGGTGGTTCGTATATTCTCCTTTGTTCACTGTAAGCTGCTGGATCCGCGCCTGTAAAACCCCCACTTATCTCTTTTGAAAAGAACAGTATCCTTATATCTAACATACATATTATACTCTTCTAAGAGCAAATTATATTTTATAAGAGGTGGATATTTATGAAGAAAGCATTATATGGTACAAAATGGAAAATTATTATTTTCATTTTGACAAACATAGTTCATGGTAATATTTAACATAAGATATACCGAGAATTTGGATATACATTTGAAATGAGCACATGCTTATTCTAATGATAGGAAAATTGTATGTTGAATAAAAAGTTAGTTAGGAGAAAGACAAACATCTTCTAGATTGACATATTTTATCCCAGAGGGTGGTAGAATTTCTATACCATAAAATATGTTCTACATATTTCTCTCCGTGAACAATAACAATATCGTTGTATGAGACATCAACTATTGCTGGTCGTTATTATTCGAAAACAAGTTATCCATCCCGAGAATAACGACTGAAATACAGGTCAAGCAAGTATGTGAATCTTGGAGGCTTACCTGAACAAAACAAAAATACTTAACTATAAT